CTTGGGGAAAGCCAGCAATCATTTTGAAGGTGGCCCCATGCTGGACGGGCAGACACTGGCAGGTGCTCTGGGAACTGCTGTTAAACGGACGGCGATGGCAGGCCCCGATCTCACCTCGTGTGCTTTGAACGTGAGCCTCTTCTGGCACACTGCTCCTGTGCGCACACGGTGGGCGCTTCCTCGCACTGTGGGTGCCAGGGACACAGCGTTCTAGGACTTGGTTCACCATCATGAGACAGCGACATCTTAGAGGGAGGGAGGATGGGCCGCCCTCGGGGGGGCAGAGTCAGTTATCAGTGTATCTCCATCCCTGTCCCTGAAACTCAGTTTTATGAGCTCAGAAGACTCTTGATGCCATAAACTGGGAGTAGAGGGCAAAGGAAACACCCACATTGCAAAGTGTTTTTTTATAAAAAGATTCATTTACTGACTTCGGTGAGAATTCTGTGACCTAAGACTATATAACCTACCTTAGCCAGAACCCCAAACAAACAAACAAAAAAAATCAACATGTTCTTTGGATGAAGGAGGGGCGATGCGATCCACACTCCAGCCCGGGGCAGCACTGGGCGTGAAAGCACACGTCCCAGCGCAGTCCGGAGAGGGACCACGGGCACAGGCCACCCGGGGACCAGGATCAGTGCGCTGAGGCGGGCCATGGCTGCTCACATGCCGGCGGCCGGTTCCACCATCCCTATATTTCCATTCATCTTATTTGTACATGGTGCTCACCTGGGAAACCCTATTATTTCTTAAACTTAAATAAAATTAGTAAAAGGCAAAAAAAAGAAAAAGAAAAAAGAAGGCAGAACTATACATCAGCAATACTGAAATTTGGGGGTTAGGCAGTGGGGTGAGGGGGGGGGCGAGAGAGCTCTGTAAAACCTTATTATAAACGAAAAGGTTTTCCAAGCCCCTTTCTGGGGAGGCCAGAAAGCTTCCTCTACTTCCACATCACTCACTGCATTATTTTTATAGAAAATTTTATTCAACATACAACATTTTCCAGCAAAAAGGCAATATACAGGAAGAGTTGGTGTACACCGCTGCTACAGAAACAAACAAAAAATACTGGAAAAGAATGGGGGGGAAAAGAAGTGTGATTGCTGACTCTATTTACTGCACTCAAAACTAGACACGCAGCTGGCATTTAGCTCCAAAATAAAAGGTCGGGACTGAAATAAACTACACACAATGAATATCAACATCAGTGAGTCACCTGCAGATCCACCCAACAAAAAAGTTACCTCCTCCCAGCAGTAAATTGTACACGTTCATTCATTAAATATACAATTTCATTTTTCCTGTTTTGTTTTTTTTTCTTTTAACTTTTATACAAAGTCAACAGCTTACTACCACTAGTGAGCATGCCCTCTTTGCTAAAAGGCTCTCTGTTCATCTGTTGTGTTTTAAGGAAATTCTATATAATTTTTCACCTGCTCGTATGAACGCGAGATCACTGTCTGCCGACAGGCAGCGTAATACACCTTAATTGTACTTAACAGTGCTTTCCATTGAATAAAAGACCCCAGGACGGCTGTCGGACTGTGCTCCGTGCCCCCACTTTGCAATGGGCTGCAGAACAGTAGCGGCTGCCGGAAGTAGACAGTTTATTAAAAGACCCAGGCGGCTGGGGGAGGACTGAGGAAGGGGCGACAGGACACGCAGTGAAGGAAAGAGTGCTATTTATTAGCTTGTGAGTTTCTCTGTTTTGCCTTTACAGATGCACAAAAGGCCATTGAAATATAACTGAAGGAATACGTCAGACGAGCCTAACACAGGACTGCCTGGCTGCAGGTGGAGGCGGGACCCCAGCAGGCAGCCAGGCAGCCCCTGCCAACTAGACAAAGACCTCTCGCCAGCGCCACGCATCCCACTAACCTCTTCTCCCCATAGGCTGACAGTTGCCTTGCATGTGGTTACCATAAAATAATTCTCATTGGCATCCAAGCTTTATAAAAACACCTTCATTTTGCTCAAAAAGGGCAGTCAATAGATACAGAGAAGCCAAACCGAACAGCCTCAACAAAATAAAATGAACACCAGCAGCAAATCCTCCTCGGAAGACTCGCTAGAGTGCACGTGTGCCAGAGTCCTCGCTGTTAAAAGGGGCACACCCACACGCGGTCCTCGCCTTGCACGCACGGGTGAGGAAGTCAGTTATGGATTTTAATGGCCTTTTCAAGGTAAGTGTAGCGACTTCTCTTTGGGGCTTTGTTGAAGTGGTCGAGCCCTAGCCACGGCCGCGGGTGAGACATGTTACCTGGTGGGGAAAGAGGGGCGATGAGACCACAGAACAAGTACCATGCCCATCCACCTGTGGTGGCCACGCAAGCAGGTGTGGGTTCAGTGAGGCTGGGGCTGGAGCCAAAAAGGCGCCCACACTCTGCTGCCTGCCTCAGCGGCTTCCACAGGCAGCTCTGCCAGAGCCTGCCGACCACATGGAGCCTTCACACCTCGGCCTTGGAGCTTAGTTCTCTTAGCCACCACGTGATGCAAGACAGCTTTTAATCCTTAAGAGACTCGATGGGGTCAGGCTACTGTTCCTCCTGTCACAGAGGAGGTCAGCAAGCCCAGGCCTCCCCGCGGTGGAAATGGACGGTGGACTCGACCCCGAGCTCTCCGCCTCCAGCTACTTACCGCTGGCCGGCTGGACCTCACCCACACAGAAGGAGAGCAGTGGGAGGGCTCTTACCAGGCTGAGGTTCAAAGTCTTTCAAGTTTACTTCGTACTCATCTTCATTAATGTATTGGTGCCGGCCCATCATCACAATGGCAAATTTAAACTACAAGACAAAAATGAACACTCCTCCATGAACTGGGACGCCTCCGCGGAGTCTGGGCCGCTCTCCCAGGACGCCTCCAGCATGCCGCTCGCCGGGTACTCGTCCAGCACGCGCGTACCTTCTCAAACTCCTTCTCCTGGATGTCTAGCAGGCTCTGGATCCGCTTCATGACTTCTCTGAAATGCTCGCCCTGTGGACAGGAGAGGACACTGACCATGTGCCTATGTGCACCGTGACAGGGCTCACGGCCCACGGGGACGCCACCAAAGCCATGGTCTGCCCACAAAGGCAGGAAGCCAGAGTCACAACACTAATCAAAAAGGGGGGGGGGGGACCCCCCACGCACGAGGCTTCGCGTCTTGATGTGCAATGCTCAGCCCGTCAGCTGTAAAGCTCACCTGGTGTATCCTCAGCAAAAAAGGGATTCCAAACGTCCCGAACACCTCCTTGTGGAAATGTGCCACTGTGATCAGCATCTCATTTTCCTTATCTATGTCTACCTGGTCCAAAGGTATTTCCTGGGGACACAGTTAAACACAGGGAGCAGAGTAAAGCACCTGGTGCAGACAACACACTTTAATTCTGACCTGCTCCTGCGATGAGGTAGGTAGGTCACTATTTTTGCCAAAATGCCATGTTTGGGGCTTGCTAGAATGGTAAGAATTCAGAATCAGAAAACACCCAAGTTTTTTAAGGAAAATTATGGGTTTTTCCAATTACTGTGGGAATTGAGCAACCCTAGAAACCAACAGGGACCCAGATTTGGGACAGATTCATCTGGTGGCCCATATTTAAAATTAATGTTTACGTACAAAGACTATATATGATTCTACTTATATGAGGCACCTAGGGTAGTCAAATTCAGAGAGTGGGGTGGTGGTTGCCAGGGACTGGCAGAGGGAGATGTAAGTGGGTATGGAGTTTTACCGAGGGAAGATGGGGATTGTGGCAATGAGTGGTGGTGACGAGTGCTCAACAGTGTGGATGGACTTAATGCCACTGAAATGTACATTTTTAATGGTACAGAGTACGTTACGGAGGTTTTACCACAGTAAGACAATCGGACATGCGGCTGATAGCTGCCCCACCCACCAAGGACCCAGAACTCTCCCTGGTGCCAGGAACAGGGCAGTTACCTCTATTCGAAACGTTCTACTCGTTGCAGGAGATAAACATTCTAATAGCTCGTCTTCTTGGTGCACACCAATAATTTTGTAGCTTACAATTTCTAGCAGCCTGTACAAACAGGATGGGGGAAAAGATATAAATTCATGGTAAACACAGACAAATTGTTTTCTTATTATAAAGCTATCAAGATTTGCTTGTCTTCTTTCATTTTCAAAGGTTGGAGCTGTCGAAAGCAGCACTCTGGAGCGTGCGATTTAAGGGGAGTGACCTCAGGCCTCGGTGAGGCTGAGTCCCTGGAGCTAATGCATCTCCCTCTAAACCCACTCGAGGCAGGGCTGGAGAAGCTGTGCTCACCGAGCCTTTGGAGGACAAGGGGCTCCAAATATTAATATTAGAGAAAAACAAGCTGGGAGCCAATAGCCACAAGGGCAGTTTTGCGCTGACTGTGAGGTGACATAAGAAGAGCGCCCAGCCCTGTCCAGTTTGGCTCAGTGGTTGGCACTCGGATCAAAGGACGCATGCAGAAGACAACCAATTGATTCGTCTCTCCCAAATTAATGTTTCTTTCTCTTTCTCTCCCCCTCTCTCTCTCTTCTGAACCCTCCCCCTCCACTTTCTCAAAAAATATCAATGAAAAAAGCGCCCAGCTTTCTGAAATAAAAAGTGGTCATCATATCTGCAGCTACTGTCCAGACTGAACGTTGCCCAATTTCACAAATGCAAGCCCAGCAGCTTTTCCAGTTTCAGGCTATTGACATCGCATCCTTCCTCTGCTTGGCTTTCCCATCTGAAGCACACATTTTTACTCTAGGTAGTTAATGTCAGGAGACTGGAAGGGGAGGAGGGGGAAATGGCTTCACTGTGAAATATTTAAAAACTGCTGTGAAAACCGGCTGAGAGGTGAGTCTGGCAACAGGCCAGGGCTCTGGCTGGCTGTGTCCCCAGCACACTGCAGGTCTGGGACTGCTCCCCACTCCTCCCGCCACAACTGCTCCAGAAATACTTGCCTAAGTTTCCCTGATGCCTTCTCCCCGAGATCTACAGCCTTTTTACATTCTTCTAGCAGGTCCCGGACACACCCGTGCTTGTCTGGATATAGTGTTATTTCCTAAGAAATGACAAGATGAAATACACGCTTTAAAGAAAACATAAAGGATCTGCTACAGCAAACCAATTTTGCTTGAAGAAAGAAAACACAGCAACAGATGTCCCCAGCTGTCGCTAGCTCCCCAGGACTCTCTCTTACATTCCCACCATGAGGGCCCCTAGTGTGAGACCTCACCCAGACCATCTGCCTAAACCTGGGGCCCACCAAGTACTGAGGGGACTTTAAGAAGTGTCACTTTTGCCCTGTGATAGAGCATTGGTCCATGGACTGAAGGGTCCTGGGTTTGCTTCCCACAAGCCTATGTAAGATACAGGCTTCATCCGTGGCCTTGTCCAGGCATACGCAGGAAGCAACCAATCAATGTGTCTCTCACATCAACATTTCTCTCTCTTTCTCTCTCTCTACATAACCCTCAACTCTCTCTAAAAATCAATAGAAAAATATCCACAAGTGAAGGTTAACAACAAAAATGTCACTTTCTGGTTATCTGAAAACAATATATACTTAAAAACATATATATTGATTTCAGAGAAGAAGGAAGAGAGAGAGAGAGAGAAACATCAATGTGAGTCATTGATTGGCTGCCTCCTGCACAACTCCACTGGGGATGGAGCCCATAACCCAGGCATGTGCCCTTGACCGGAATTTAACCTGGGACCTTTCAGTCCTCAGGCTGATGCTTTATCCACTGAGCCAAAACAAGTAGGGCTGAAAACTATATACTTTTATTAACCAATGTTACCCCAATGAGTCCAATTAAAAAACAAAACAAAAATGCCACTATGAAGTGAAAAGTTTGCCATTTCCAGAAAAGCTTCTCAGGAAACGACCCCCTGAAAGATCACCTACAAGCCTTTCGGGTTCCAGCGCAGTGAGAAAGAAGCTGATTAACGCAGGCCATGACCAGCAGGAGGCTTTCAAGTTAAGCCTGACTAATCAACTGCATATACGTGTGAATGTCTGTGGCATGTAGCTCAGCTCAACTCTTTCCTCAAAACTGGCCAAGAAAGGTAAAAAAATACTCAGAGCCCCAGCAGTCGAACTTCCTAAACCACCTAAAGTGTGGCTGGACATGCCTTCTGTATGCAACAAGCACACGCCATTGGAGCGGCCCACAGTCAGTGTCAGCTCACTTGCAGGCCGGCTGCCCACACTGTTGCCCAATTTCACAAATGAATTTCATGACGGGGTTCGGGGAAAATACTGCTCTGGCCAAGCAGCAGCGCATCAATTTAAGACGTCCAAATTGGTAAAAAAAAAAAAAAAAAAAAAAAGGCAGTCCTGGAGGGTCGGGCGGATGACATTGCTATTCGTCCCCCAGGGCTAAGAGGTGGTGGCAGGAGGACACAAACAGGTTCTCTACCTCTGGACCCAGAGGCCGCTAAAACACTATCACTCCTCTTGCTTTCTTTTGTTTTAGTTCTCAAGGTCTAAAGAGACAGAAACCATAGACAAGCTCCAATAAAATTAAAGATTTATCCCATAAAAAAGCTTACCTCTTCCCTAAATTGGCTGTTTAACCATATACACTTAAAACTTCGCCTGTTTTCAAAGTCTGTGATTTTCATCTTCAGCTATGAAGGAAAGAGAGAGACCCTTTAGATGTGCTTCCACAAAAACCCAAGGCTTCTCCTTATGACCCGCGGGCACATTAATTTGGACTCATACCTGCTGATAGTAAAGTTTCTTAGGTTGTCTAGGCTTGAAGAATTGTAGAAGATCTCTTAAAGTACCTTCATAATTATGTCTAAGAGGATTACCTGGGCCATCCCTATAACTACACAAGAAAACAGCATATAAATAAATGACTTGTTTATTCGCCTAAAACAAGTATCTATGACTGAGCAGAAAAGCAAACCACTAGCTTTGCACCTGGACTTGCAATTGGGACCTGGCACAGGGTTCCACTGCGTGTTCCTACATCCCGAGCCCTCTGCCCCGCTGGCCGCCACCCCCAAGTGCTCCCTGCAGTGGTGGCACACACAGCGCACAGAGGTCTGACTGGGACGGACCCAGCTGGATACATTTTGGGGGGGTGGGCAGGGGGTGTTTATTGATGATGGATCTAACTTGACTTGAGGTGAGGCTGCCAATTACTTTGACATCTTGGAGTAGTGTGGTCAAGATATGAGGGGTGACAATTCTATATCTGAAACTAAGCAAGAAATGGCATGTCAGGTGATGTGCCCAGCTACTTATTAAAATTAGTTCTGATATGTCTGGATGAACTATGAAAAGCATGCAGCAAGGACCAAACACGGTGGGTGCACATGTAGCTCACCCTTGAGATTTGAAGAACTGGAGCAGCATTGGGTCGGTGTTGAGCCTCTGTGCAACTGTCTTTGCAACCTGGGGGGGGAAGAAGCCAGACATCAGAACGCCCAAGGTGCACACTGCGGCAATGAACTAAATTTGCTCATAAGCTTCATCTTTACGTTAATGAGGCGCCTCGGGACCTTCAACCAATGTGGGATGAGCAGCCCTCATGTCAGTGCCCTAGGAATTTACTACCTAACAGGAATAAGGCACAGTACAGTGAGCGTAACATAGCTGATAAAGATAAAACTTTTGGAGGCTTTTTCACTTTTAAGGTGAATAGATTTTTAAATTTCCTGATGGCTTCCCACTTGGCATGTTCTAGCTGAAGCAATGGACTCCCATCACCTCCAAAAGCACACTGCGCCAGGTAGAGAGGGTTTCGAGGGAGCAGAGTGCAGATGGACGTGGTAGCTGAGGAGGAGGAGGCTGAGCTAAGAATGGCTCTGGCCCCATAGCCATCCTGGCACCAGCCACTTTAGTTAGGCATTTCCTCGGACCAGCAGGACTAACCCTTCCTCCTGAACCAAATACTGCAGCTTCATCAGCAAGCCTTTTTTTGTTTTGTTTTAAGAACGTGGTCTTTCTGGTGCAAAATGTGAAGAAAGAAGAGCCTTTGTCAAATACCTGAAAATAATTCATTCTATTTGATAACGTGACCACAAATCCAGGATCATTAGGGATTGTCTTATCACAGAAAATGACATCAACACGGTGATAGAGGTCTCTGAAATATTCTTTTGCGGTGGGTAATTCACTGTTATCATTCTCAGGGTCATCCCTGGAAGGAGAAAAAACAACAGTTTGTAGACTGAATCAAAGCCCAGGCCAGAGGCCATCATCTCTCACACACAGTGACATTAGCAGGCATGGACGGAAGCTCAGGGTCCTATTTAGGGCGCTGGGGGGGGGGGGTCTGCCAGTGGCCTTCCTAAGCAGGGACAATAGGGAAAGGCCACCACGTACATAAGGTGTGCCTGAGCTAGCACAGTGCTGCTTTCCGTCCTGATCGCAATACAAACACCGGAGCCTTTTCTCCAGGGACAGGGGGAAGGGCTGCCTGCTTGCTGACCAGTAGCTGGCAGGAGGCACTTTCAAGCCAAGGCAGCAGGACACGATCAAAGTGGCCTGCCCACAACCTATGCCAGGGCCACCTCACCAGACTCTTTAACAGCAAGAAGGAGGCAACACCGGGCTGCTTTCAGACTAAAACCTCAGACCTGCTGGTTTTACATGCAGGTTTAAATCAATGACCTACGTAGCCGCATTCTAAGAAATGCCCCGTTTAAGGAAAGAAATACAATCTTGCTATTTCAGACTTTTGCAGCTGTGCTAACAGTGCTCCTGCTCACTGTAGACATTCTTAAGAAATCAGAGCATTGATGAAAACGCTCACCACCTAATTCCAAGACCCAGACACAGGCAGCACCTGTCAGCATTGTGAGGCGTTTCAAACAGCACCTGACTCGGGGTCTCAACACAATCTTGTCAGTGTTACAGGACTTGGAGAAAAAGGTCCTGCTACCAGCACAAAGTGATCAAATCCTTCAAAAAGTACCTACTTCTGAAACACTATAATATCACCATCCATTAGCTCATCCAGGGCTTTATCAAGAGACACGTCATAGTCCTGAATTCTCTCTGTTAAATTCGGTTTAACTTCCTAGAGTAAAAGAAATGAAACAGTTACCATGTAACGTTTGTCTAATGTTTAATATGGCCATACACTGTATTTTCTCTACACCCGTTCTATCAGCTATGTATTTTTAGTATGTTAAAAAGCTAACAGGAAATATTAACATCCATAAAGATATAACAATCACGGATGGATCCTCAATTGGTAAAAAAAAAAAAAAAAAAAAAAACACAAATCTACAAATGTGATTCCAAACTCAAGGTCACCTCAACAGTAGACATTACCCATAATAAATACAGGGATAATCAACAAGCAAAAAAATCCCTCTCCTATCTGCTAGCAATACACTGATTATAGAGAAATAAACTATCCAAACCTCATAGAGGATAAGGCTAGTATCTTGGATAAATCCTGCTCTCTCACACATAACCGGGAGTAAGTCACCTAGGAGAGAGAGACAAAAGAACGCAAAGCTGTAATACACCACAACTGCAGCAGAATCAAGGCAGAGGTGAGCGCATCAGCACTTACGTATTTTACAGGATATTGGCGTGTAGATGTGCCCACAGTAGTTCAAGCTCCGTGTTTTGGGATCATACATCTTCAAAAATAACATCACATCATCTACAAGGTTCATAACAGGTTTTGTTAGGGTATCACACTCAGTACACTGACCAGCAGCTGGCAATATTTGTTTGGTGGGCACAGTGATGGTGAACTTGGTGAGGCACTGCAATGACAGCTTGCTGCACCCGAAATCATGTCAGACAGGCCTGTGGCTGCTCCCTCCCTCAGAGCATCAAACCCCAGGGGAACACTCCATGTGACGCAGTGAAAATGGAATTGGGGCAGTGAGCTTAGAAATCCTAGTTTCAAGATCTGGTACTAACTAGATGGTTGGGTGCTGTCATGGGTAGGGTTGTATGACTTAGCTACACTAGAGAGGTGACCACTTATAGCAATAAAAACAATCTTATAGCAAAATCTGATCCACCTGCTTTGTATATAAAGTAGTGCAGCCACACTGCTAGACATCCTCTGTGGCCACGTTCCTGCTACAGTGTGGCCCACAAGGCAAGAAACCATTTGGCCCACAAGGCAAGAAACACAGTTGACCCTTAACAACCTGGGAGTTAGGGAAACCCCCAAGCACTTATAAATCCATATGTAATTTCTGACTTTCCAAAAATATAACTATTAATAGTCTCCTGTTGACTGGAAGTCTGACAGATGACCTAAACCGCTGATTAGCACATATTTTGTGTGTGCATTAGGAGCCCAGTGTGCAAAATCATGTGGCCCACCACCCACTTGCCGGCCTGTCTACACAGAGCTCCAGTGCGTCTGGCCCAGCCCACAAACCCCCTGGCCTTCTCTGGCCGCTTCAAGCACCACCCTCAGTCCTTCAAGTCGCCTCGGGCTGGGCGCCTTCTCTGGGCGCCTCCCCGCTTCCACCCCGTCTCCAGAGCAACTTGGCGGCTCTGCCCCATCATGGCACCAAAGGAGAGCATTGAAGCCTTCTGCCTGCTGTGCTGTGCTCCTTCCCCTGGCAGGTGGGCCGCGGGCCACTCAGAGTGCCAGCGGTGGGTGGCGAAGTGGGCTCTCACCCCCTTCCTCCCTGGCACGGGATGGTCCCGCCTCCTCCAGGCACCTCCCGCTTCTGTCATCTCTGGTGCAATGCCCCAGCTAATATGCTAATGGTCTGGTCGTTACCCGTTCACAGTGTCCTGACCATTAGCAAATTAGCTCTTTATTACTGTAAATTACATGCTGTATTCTCCCAATAAAGTAAGCTCGAGAAAGATTAAGGAAATCACGAGGAAAATACATACTGTACTTTAAGAAAAAAATCCACAGTGTAAGTAGGCCAATGCAGCTCAAGCCCATGCTATGTCTGGCCCTTGAGAGAGGCTGCAATGCCTGCTCTGTGTGCTCTGCTGGTATATAAAGAGCAATGTGATCAGCAAACATGGGGCCACGAGTAAGGAACACGATGCCTCAACACTGGGTCCCCTCCTGTGCTCCCGGACACTATAGCCCATGGCCAGTCTTACTTGACTTCATCAGGAAGCCTTGACCAACGGGTTCAATGAGCATTTTTGGAATTACTAAGATTTTTTTGCAAGGGAGTAACAAGGCAATATTTGTTTGGTGGGCACTTACGATCTTTATCAAACTTGGGTAACGTTGTTCCAGTAGCAGCCAGCTCGGGATCAACTGTTTCCAGGAATATTGTCCAAGGGTTTTCATTATCACTGAGTTCAATCATCTATTTCCAAAAGAGATGACAATTTTAGAAAACTGTAATGCGGAGTGAGAGTGAAAAACTATACTCATGTACTGAAAACACATATCCAACTGGACCACAAGGAGGCATGCTGCAGCCCCAGCAGTGGAGCACGCTGAGGCGTGCAGCTGTCAACAACACTCACTGTTTTATTGCCATCGGCCTCATTATCTAACATCGCTGGTCGTTTGGTTCCATTGCTCCTCGCTTGCATGGGCCATAATCGAATTTGATCTTGTGGAAATCCCTGGAGAAAATTTAAAAGAAAACAAAATTTAAAAGAAAAAATTTCTGTATCACTGTAATCATTCTATGACTTTAAGAAAAATAATCACAAATCTCCCTGCTTTCAGATCACTAGTATTCCAAGACTCAAGTGCCCATTTTACAAAAGGAAAAACAAACAAACAAACAAAACACAGGAAGGAGTACAAAAGAGAAGATTCGAGTTCACATTCAGTTTTCCTTTAGTGCTGATTCAGTTGAGAGATTAGGTCACAGGGCAGACACAGGCACCACCCAGAAGGAAATGAGTACAGGTCAGTTACCTCTCTTCTCAGGCAGCCTAGACACAGCACCTACCCCAAAAGGTACTGTCTTGTCCAGGTATAAATAAGAAGGGTGGAGCGTGGAAGTCAAAATAAACCATCAGCAGAGCAGCCGGCACTCACCATGGTCTGCGAGAGGTTCTGGACAAACTCAGAAAGTGAAGAGTTTTTCAGTACTTTGAACACAGTGTACTTGACTTTTTCTTCATCATACATATCATTTCCTTGGTGGCCACAAAACTGGTCCTCTGCAACTATCTGAAAATATGCACAAACAAATAGAACTGACATACAAAATACAGTGAGACCATGCTGATCAAGAACAAGTTCAAATAGTCCTGGTGGGATGGCTCAGCTGGTTGGAGCATTGTCCTAGGCACCATAGGTCATGGGTTCGAGTCCTAGTCAGGGCATGTACCTAAGTTTCAAGTTCCATCCCAGTTGGGGTGCATAGGAGAGGCAAGCCATTGATGTTCCTCTCTCTCTCTCTTCCTCACTCTAAAAAGTCAATAAACACAACATAGGATGAGGATTTTTTTAAAAAACAAACGAACAGTAAGTTCAAATAGTAAATTGCTGAATACAACTAGTCTTGCTTCTTAAGACCCAAGGAGAAAAGTTTCAAAATGACTATGACTAAGAATGAAATCAAGGTATGTATTTAGAAAAGACAAAAGCCTACATCTTCATGCCGCCATTCTTAACTCATCTGAAAGCATTAGCTAGAAATCAATCTATATGGTTATCACCAAGTAATATAAAGATATGCTATGCCCAGCAGGTGCCTCTCGGTTGAGTGTCATCCTATGCACCAAAAGGTTGCCAGTTGGATTCCTGGTCATGGTACATGTCGAGTTGTGGGCTTAATCCCCAGTAGGAGGCATGGGGCAGGCAGTCAATTGAGCTCTCTCTCTCATCGATATTTCTCTCTCTCTCCCTCTCCCTTCCTCTCTAAAAAATCAATAGCAACCCGTTACCAAAAAAAAAAAAAGAGGGTGAAACACCACAGACATGACTCATGGAGTGACTACAAAACTCCCCACAGTGCAGAGTATGAAACGCCACTCTACTCACTCAGCTTGGACTCCCTGATATAAACCAACATGTACGCGTCCGTGCAGTCCCGGACGGAGAGGTCGTCGTCGTGGCCCCCATGCACCTTTCCCAGGTAGGTAATCACAACTGAGCCATGAACCAGGACCACCTGGAACTCACCTCCCTGCTGGCCCTCTCCTGCCCTCTCCTTATGTATGAGGCTTTCCATGGCCTGGCATGCCACTGACCCACACCCCATCTGGGCTGTACTCATCTCCCGAAGGGAGCCCTCCCTTCTCACACATCCTTCCATCGAGGCCTTCTCCCCTCTAACCCCTTTCTACACGTTTTATAAATACTCTAAGGTACTGGTGATCTGCGGTGGCCCAAGTACTTCTCATATCTATGTCTATACCCTGAACTGAATTGTATATTCCAGATGGTCAGGAAACTGGCCTACACAGTCACTCAGCCAATAACATTCAAGGACTGCCCGGAGCAACCCCTGATCTGTCAGCAATAAGCCCAGGTCCATGCAGTCCTCGAAGCAGTGCGGCTCTCAGCAGCCTCCTCCCCACCGAGGCCCCAGAGGCTGAGGCTGACCTGCACTTGCATGTAGAGATGGGCTTCCTGCCGCTCCTTCCTCTTCTGGGCTTCGATCCTTTTCTCTTCTTGTAATCGTTCCACCAGCTGCTGAGGAATGTCATTGTCGGTGACAGCTTGCAACACCTCACCTGCAGGACAAATGCATCTTCATTCACCTCTGCCAGGTTCTCCTTTCCCCTTCTTAGAAGGTCCCATTTTACATCATCACTGCTATAGCAATCTAGTAAAGGGAAATGACTGGGTGTCGCGAGTCCACATCACAGCCCACAAGCCCAACTCTCCTGCCTCTAGATGTTGTAAACAAGGCAGACTAATAAGAGCATGGGTTTGCACAGGAGACACAGCTAAGGTCCCTGTAACACGGCCTGAAACACCACAGCAATGACTCATGGAGCGACTACAAAACTCCCCACAGTGCAGAGTATGAAAGGCCACTCTACTCACTCAGCTTGGACTCCCTGATATAAACCAACATGTACGCATTCGTGCAGTGCCGGACGGAGAGGTCGTCGTCGTGGCCCCCATAATTGTGCTCGATTGCTTCTTCTTTCGTACACCTCGACACCACATCATCGTCAAATTTACACCACTGGACAGGAGAGCAACGAGACATCAGCAGAGAGATAGTGCTCCGAGCACACAAGCTCTCACGTGGGGTTTTCCTAGAACAGATCATCTATACGACATACTAGAGGCCCAGCACACAAATTCGTGCACAGATGGGGCCCCTCAGCCTGGCTGGCTGTGGGAGCACACTGACCACCAGCAGGGGCAGCTCCTGTGTTGAGTATCTGCTCCCTGGTGGGCAGTGCACATCATAGCAACCGTTCATTTGTTCAACCCGTCGTGTCAATTAGGCTTTTATATATAGACTATAGGCCTGATACACAAAATTTGTGCAAGGGGCTCGGCCCTTGCAGCCCTCACTTTGTCTGGAAGATCATCTGGAAGGATGTTTGGCTGTCTGGTGTAATTAGCATATTATACTCTTATTATTATAGATAATCATAGCAAGGGCCTGACTTAAAAAAAAAAATAAAAAATAAAAAAAAGCAATGTACGAAGCTATGTCCCAGTCTCCTCATCATGGGTTAAGTAATTTTAAATGGTACTCAGCCTCGCGGTTAAAGATGCTATGAGGGTTCCCTCAGCATGGGCCAGGCAGGCTCCATCTTTGCCATCCTCGTAGGCCCTATGCTGCTGGACACAGACCCTGAGGGAATGCACCCCTTGGGGAAGATTATGTATGAGATCCATATGAACCAAGAAAGACAGAGCATTGCACAGTGTGGACAATGGGGCATGTGGAATACCATGCAATCAATGCTGCCTCCCCTGCCCGGATAGCAGAGAACTATTCTGTTATTCCTGCATGGGAAATAAGTGCCTCGTTTTAGCTGTAAAGGAATTCTGTGAGTTCCAACATTCAATACTAACATAGATACAAACATAAAGTATAATCACTAATTTACTATTGAGCTTTAGAGTACCAGTAATTAATACATATCAGAACATACAGATCAATCAGAGGCCAAGAAGGCTCGTTTGCTAGCAGACATCAGGAGGAATAGGAAAAGGCTGGGCTGGCATCAGAGTTAAGTCCCCTATAGGCAATCACACCCAACTCCACCCTCCTCCCCAAACCCGCCCTGCCCCGCCCAGCACTTACTTTCCCATCCCCTTTGGGGTTTAGATAAACCACGTAATGTCCACCATGATTATCTCCACTGTGAACCAGGACTGCATGAAGAATATAATTTGCAGGGTCCTTAGGATCTGTTTTTTGCAAAAATTCATCAAGTGGTAA